CATGGAATATTTAGAGGAAGAATTTAGTACCCGGCATTCCACTTTTCAAAGGGCCATGAATTATTTTGAAAAGCAAAAACTAATTGGCTACCTATGGCTTCTGGGAGGAGCATGATCCCTTCTGTAGGGTAACCCCGATAAAGTTCTCTCTCTCTCTCTCTCTCTCTCTCTCTCTCTCTCTCTCTCTCTCTCCCTCTCTTTCTCTCTGTGTTTGTGTGTATGTATGTATATATATAAATCTTATAAAATAGTAGGTTTCCATGAGGCTTTCAGAAACCCTTAGTGTTGTTATTCTTCTCCCTCTTCACAGCTTTCCTCTCCTCCCATCTCTCCCCTCTGAGCCTATGTTCCCACTATTCCCCCTTTGACAGTTGATGACTTCTGGGTGAGGGAGTCAGTTTCTTTAAGCATGTGGCCCCTGGTGGGCCAATGAGCTCCAGCAGTGACCCCACCAGCAGCAGCACACACACATACACCTGCAGTGACCCCACAACCAACGGCACACACACACACACACACACACACACACACACACACACACACACATCCGCAGCTCATAGGCAACACAAACACTTGCTTGTTTTACAGCAAGTCTGACTCTGATGATAATTTTATTAATTTCAACTGAAAACCGTTAGCCCTCCTAACTGTCATATTCCTGTATGGTTTTGAAATGATAGGAAGTTCAACAGCTGTCTTTTGACACTATTTCTTCTCTGAAAGTCCTCCAGCGCGCAGGAGTGCCACGCCCAGTGGGGTGACAGGTCTTTGACCTTTGTGTCTCACCTGATCTAGTTACTCCTGCAGATGTGCTTCTTCTCCCTTTGGTTTGACGGCTCAGGTCTGGTCTTCACCTCGTCAGCTCCAATTCTGAAGTGGTGTCTCCTCCTCCACGTCACAGCTCTGTCTGCTCGGCTAGCCCTCACTCCTCAGCCTGTTCCTGACAGCTCTCATCTTGTCTTGTCCTTTTAAACACGTTTCTTTAATTAGCAAAGATTAATTTTTGCTAAAATGGGGCATAAGTTTGTCTTCCAATTCCCTCAATGTCTTAAAAATAGGGAGGTGATGCAGGTCAGAAACTTGTGTCTCCCAGCCTCCAGATCTGGATCACAGGTGAGCCCTCCAATTCTGGATTGCAGTTCATTCCAGATATATTCAAGTTCACAACCAGGAATAGCCATTACAATATATATTTAACAAATCTACTCTTCTATGTCTTCCCTTTATTACATTTGGTTTCCCCAGTAATATTCCTTGACCTTTATTAGGTGGAGTTTATTGGCTACCTATACATTGATTTAAGTTCTGTGTCTATTAGCAAAAAAAATAAGGCCAGCTTGTTTGACAGATGTTTACTGGTACCCATTATATGCCAAGCAACATTCCAGATGTGAAATATACAACAAAGAATGAGTGGACCAAATCTCTCTACTCTCACAAGACAAACAAATGGGAAAAGCAATTGGCTTTCCTCATGTCTGCTGGAGATTGGTACCATTTTGTTTCCGTGCCACCTCTGTCTCAGGTGAGTGTCATTCCTGGACCAGTTCTAGTCTGTCGAGTGATTCAATTCATGAAGGCACTGAGAATAATTTGGAAGGAAAATCTCTAATGTGCATTTGGGAGGCCACATCAGAACCACAGGATTCTTCCAGCCAACTGTGATCCAAACTGGGCAGGGATAGATATCCAGTGCCCTGTGCCTCAAATTCCTGCAGAGCTTACCCACAGTGAAGGCTCCAGCTCCTCCACTTTTGAGGCTATTATAGAGCAACAGGGCAGGTATAGCATTCCAGTTCACAAAGCTGTTTCCGAAAGATGTCAGTCATGAATTAAGCAGACAGTGTTGCAAACACAGTGTTAGGGATATAACAATCCCTTGAAGTGGTGTTTACTGTTCTCATACGGATACAGAATCCAAAGATAGAATGCATGCAGATCAGTGTTTAGTTTCTCAATGAGTGGGAAGTTCCTGCCAATTGCAGAATTAATAAAGATTGGATTCTGATTGTTAAGAATTAGGTGGCGGGGGTGGGGATGGTCGTACAATAATGTCTGACTACTGCCTCACTGTTTTATAGCTGTACTCTGAAAGGTTTGGATACTTCAGTTTCCTTACACTCTGTGAGTAATTCCTTCTTTCAGTTTTTATGTTTTAGAAAATGGTGAAATTGTTGGGGTTAGGGTTAGGAGTTGGGGTTATTATGAAAAAGTCTTGACAGTAGAGGGGGAGTAGTTGAAAAAGAAAGGGTTCAGAGGGTTGGGGATATGAAGGTTAATGGTGAGTCAATATGACCACAATACAGTGCCTATGTACACATTTATAAAGAATAGATTCATTAAATGTCACTAATAAGATGGTTATGAAAATATAGTTTAAAAATCCCTTCAGTACAGTTTGAGAACTTCCTGACCTAGGTTGAAAAGCCAACTCACTGGTGGCAGAAATAAGTGAATAGCATCCATGTTTATTCTACTTCTTCTCCAGGGTTGAATCTGTTTCCAGGGAAGAGATTGGGACAGTGACTCTCAAGTAAGGATTGTGAAGTCGACCTAGAGACTGAGACATGCCGTCCTAAAGGACAGAACTGAGAAAGCCAAGCTCCCTGACTACGCTCAACCATACCCTTGCACAGATGCTGGTTCATATGGATACTGTAAGGTTGTAAGGAGCCAAGATCAGTTTGTTCCAACACATAACAGTTATCAGTGTGAGTCTGATCTTCACACATGTATATAGTTCATATCTGTTTTACATCCTTAATTCTTAAGTATCCTTTAGGGTAATGATCTGTTTTATTTTCATTTATTTTCCTGGTTGATTGATTGAGGGCACAGAAGCCATTTCATCATGGTCCTACTCATCCTAAAGTTATACTTCCATTGCTACTTTTGTTTTTTTTTCATATTTTTAAATTAATTCTTTAGAATTTTCACCCAATTCATTTTGATCCTAGTTGGCAACTTTCTGCTCTTTTACCAAGTACAGAAAGGCCTGTGACTCAGGAACTGATTGCTGGGTTTCTCAATCTTTGATCATTGTCATAACTGGAGATGTCTGACGGACACTTTGTCCTGTCTGTGGAGGGAACTCACTGTTCAGTTATACAGTAACTCAGGCATCATGGCTGACTCTTCTTTTTATCAAAACTCTCTTTTGTTCAGGCTGGAGGTCAAATATATGTGTTGTAGACTAGTTAATTGGGATAGAGGTCAGCTGACAAGAACATTATGAAGCTGTTGCAAAACTGAAAAAGCTTTCCATGTTCCCACTTAAAATGTCTCTCCAATATATGCCAAGTCCAGAATGTGTGTGTGTGTGTGTACATATATATACATATATATATGTATGTATATATATACATACACACATACATATACACATATATATTATGAATATATTAAAGTCCAGAATAACGTTTGAAGTCTGCTGTTTAGGTAGCAATAAGGGTATAAATCATATACACTTACTTACAAACTAGGAGCTGCTGGAAGGGTTAATGAGAAACTATTAGAATTGTCACTGAAGCACTGAGGACAGAAGCCTTGCTTTTTCTCCTCTTTGGTTTATAGTTGATACACATTAATTATGTATAATGAGTTTGAATATGACAGTTTAATGCATATACGCTTTATATTTTGGTCACGTTCACACGAATTGCTCTCTTGTATCCCCTCTTACTTCCAAACAACGGAGTCTACTCCCTGATGTCCCACTTTTGTGTCTTTAACTGGCCTTGAGTTACTTTAAGGTTGCTTACAGAGACGCTGATGAAGAGTTCTTGACAGAATCATGGAGACCTTAGCATGTCGCCCCCACTGAATTAAGTGTCTCCCTGTCTTCCATCAACCATTTACTGCCTATAAATCCTCAGAGAAGGGGCTAGGCTTTGAGTCCCTCCCTTTCTCCTTGGCAGGATGTTGGCCAGCCCAAGCTTGTGCAAATAACCCCAGCCACTGTGAATTCAAGAACACAGCCTTTTCAGTTTCTATCAGAATCTTAAGAGAAGTGAATCCAATTGGTCAGAGACTAAAATAGGACCAAGATGACCACCTGCACTGACTATGTGTTTCAGGCTCAGTAAATCTTCATGAGAAAATTTCCCTGGATTCTACTTCAGGGATACCCTTTCTGAAGATTGCTTTCTGTTTTCAAAATCCAACTGGGGTCTCTATTCTGTGTCTACAAAGCTCCATAAATCTCCCTCTAGATACACATCAGTGTTGTTCCACACCCCTGGAGGCTCCCTGACCCCTCCAACTGACCTCTTCAAGTGGGGAGAACCTTGACTGATATGAGATATCCCTTCCTCTTCCAATGTGGACAACATCCTGGCTTTGAATAGTTTGATTTTGCAAATTTGTGAGTTTGGTGTGTTCTAGCTGGCCTTCTGTCAACTTTGCATTCCTGTGGTGTGGCTGTCTTCTTCATGTTTTCCTGTTCCCATCTCTGTGTGGGAAATTACTGATTGTTTCATGGTGTTGTAATGTGCCACTTACATTTCGACTACAGACTATGATGAGTAATGCTACCTTGAATGTTCTTTTACACCCTCTTAGTCTCACACGGGACTCTGGTTTTTTTTTTTTGGGCCAGATTATCTGGGTGTGGCTTCTGGTCACACTCTTTGTGGTGTTCTCAACTGAGGTGGATCCTGGCCAGCTGAATACTTTGAAAGCCAAGGAGACATCTTTACCAAGTTGAGTCTCTGTCACCTACCATCTTACCACACCACCAGGGCTTGGTGCAATGTAGCCAGTCCCCAGTGTCCCCAGTGTCCCCAGTGTCCCAAGATTTCTTTCTTTTTAGATTTCACATGCTACATTGGCCAATCTCTGCCTCTGGGGAATGCCACAATACCTGTCTATTTTTAGGTAAAAAAGAAAGATTACCTGGTACCATCTGCCCACAGCCTAACTCAGTGGAGCAGATAAATATACTCATTCCCATGTAGCATTCTCCAAAACTATAAAGGTCTCCTCTTTGTCCTTTCCCGCCTGGCTTAACTCAATCATCAGTCACCTTGCACAGAGCGCGAGCCATATAACATGAAGGTTTTGTTACTCTTTGGTGTTTTCTTCTGCTTGATTCAAGGAAACTCAGGTAAATGTCTTCTGAGTAGCCCTGGAAAAGGCAGGACTCTCTTTTAGTTTGTAGACAGCTTTGAGGTGTGTCCAGGAATAAGCATCCAGCACAGATGGTTGGATCACTCTGGGGCTCAGGATTGGACCACTTTCATAATGAAGAGGTTTTATTTTTTTTTTATTTTTGTTTGCTCATTTGTTGAGAGTTGTGAATTTTACAGCACAAGACAAAGAGGCCTGTTTCCTCCAATACGAATAGAAAGATCTGATTACAGTCTGAGCTGGTTTATTCAGGACAGAATTACAGCCGTCCACGTGTCAGAGCAGGAGCTGCAGATAAAGTGTGACTGCCATGCTGTGAGCAGAGAATGTTTGCACATCTATGGCTCTTCCATGGCCTTTGCATATAACCTATTACATCCACAAAAAAAAAAAAAACCAGCTGCATCCTTTCAGTGAATTTTCAAATGAGAGAAAATAAGTACATTTAAGAAAGCTAGAGTCCAGATCCTGTAGCCTTTGAGTTAGTGGCTCTTCTGTAGCCTTTGAATTAGTGGCTCTTCTGTCAAGGTAGACTACCCCGACACCTCCATGTCCCCTCCAAACCATGGTAGACTTGATGAACACAGTATCATCAATTGGGCCCCATCTGAAGTCTTGCTACTGCCGGAGACTATTTTTCTAAACGTGTCAGGCATCCTCAGTGTTGCTGTTGCTTTAAACACAGTGTGCAGCATTGTTAGAAAGGCCTCTTTTTCAACCATCTCTTTCCCACCGTGTTTTCTTTCTGGGGACTCTAGTTGGCTAATTTTTTTTTTTTTTTTACTTAAAAGGCTGCACAATGCACATTTTTATTCTTTTTATTGCAATAATAAAAGTTGAAAATCCAGCCACAAGCTGAGACAGACCCAGTTCTAAGTCTCCTACAGCCTGAGACCTACCTTCTGTTATTCTGTTTTTTTTAATGCCACCCTCCGGTTCCCACAGTGGACCTCTATCTCCAGGTGGCTGAGGAACTCTGGTGGATCACGGCCTACAGTGGGCCAGGTGATTTCACACCCCTCCTGTTATGCCATCCTGGAAAATATAAATGATTGTTACTGAAAACTAAGGAGGAAAATCTCAATGACACTGAGATTTAACCCTGTAAGAGTGGAGCAGATTCTTTGCACTGGGCTGAGGGCTGGAGTCTCTGTTTATCTCCTTTGGTTGTATCCACAGGGGACATACCACCTGGAATCAGAAACACCGTGTGCCTCATGCAGCAGGGCTACTGCAGGCTCTTCATGTGCCGTTCTGGTGAGAGAAAGGGGGACATATGCTCCGATCCCTGGAACAGATGCTGCATACCCAGGTCCATTAAAGACAGAAGATAGAAGACTTAGGTTGGGAGACCTGGGATGTGGGGTGCAAACTCCTGGAAGGTGGAGACCTGGAAACACCCCAAAGGCTTTCTTTATGTGTGATGGATGGCGCATGCTCAGTAAACACATGCTGAATAAACCTATCACCGAGGCAAAGGTCCGATGAAAGGATTTTATTGAAAAAGGTGTTAATTTGCTATTTATTTGAAAGGACTTTGAGGAGTACCTGGTATGGTATGTTCTTCATTTCTCTACTTCGTCCTTTCTTCGTCACAGGTAATGTCTCCTACATACTCAGGGATAGGGTAGAGCAGAAACTAAGCTCGGCTCTAAACGCTGTTTTTAAATGGACAGGAATGGCCGACTCAGTGGCTTTATGTTCTTTATGGTGTCCATCATATCAAGCCTGGCGCTAGCTTCTCTCTTCTTGCGCAGGCCACCAGGGCTCCTCACATTCCAGAGTCTTCTCACATTGTGACACCTACACCTAAGTAGAACTTTGCTGCCTTTCAGCATTTACTCTTATGTTATCCCAACCAAGTGACATGGTAACCTTACCGTCTTATAGAGAATATAATAAGGTTTAAACACAGCTATTCCGGGGATTTAAGAAAAATGAAAACAAACAAACAAAAATTGTGAGGTCAATCAAATTGTTCCAAATCAGAAATTCATAAACAGGATTCTTGATGTGCCTGTAAGAATGTTCATTCTGTTACTTTTATTTTTAAATGTTTGTTTGTTAATTTTTTTTTTTGGTGTGTGTATGTGTGTGTTGTTTTATGTGTATACAGCATGTTTATGGGTATATATGTATGGTGTATTTGTGTGTATATGGTATGTTTATGGGTGTATGTATGGGTGTATATGTATGGTGTATTTGTGTGTGTACAGTGTGTTTGTCGGTGTGTGTATGTGTATGGTGTTTGTGTGTGGGGGGGGCCATGCTATGTGCACATATGGAAGCAAGAGAATTTGGGGATGAGTTCTTTTCTTCCTCCATGGGTGCTGGGGTGGAACTCAGGTCATCAGACCTCCACAGCCAGGGGTTTCATTGGCTGACCCACCTCGCCCGAGCCCCACGCCAAGCTTTCTCTCGATTAGCAGATAAACATCCCTTCTTTCCATGTTTCCCCTTACTGTTTAAATCTACTTCGCTCATGGACCAGCTGAACCTCCTTCAGGGTTCCTGCTTGGATTCTCATCCCACGTGACAATGAAGACTCGATTCTGGCTTGGCCATTCTTCCGCCTCTACTCAGTGTATTCTATATTTATTTTTCTAAATATGATCCCTGGAACTCCCCAGAAGGGAGTCTCCGTCAGACACCAGCATCTCTTGTTCCCAGACGCCAGCATCTCTTGTCCCCACAGAGAGTGGAACATGTACTTCATGCCCATGTTAACGCCTGTCTGGGGAGGGTGTTGGCTCCAGGTTCAGCCTCTGCTCTGAGGTAGTGAAACTCCTGCCCACAACAGGAGGGTCACCTCTCCAAGCTCAACAGATCTGTGGGAACAATAAACCGGAAGTGGTAACCAGTGCCGCGATCAGAGCAGGATCCTGGTTCCTCCCTTGCAGCGGAAGCTGCTGGTGATCGGTCCTGGTCTTAAGCTTCTCAAGCTTAGAAGAAGCTGGGCTAGAAATCCGAGACTCCAGCACGGGACACCACCAGCTTTCCAGGTCAGAATAGCACTTCCTTAGTGGCTCTGGGTGGGATTCTCCACAAGTATAGTGATGAGGAAAACTTCCCCTTCTCCCTCTTTCCACCACACATCCTAAACATGCAGCAAGAGCAGTTGAGAGCCAGGCCAGATGGACTTCATAAGTCCATATTACATACTCACACCATACAATATATTGCTCACTGCGCAACACATTTTTGCAGTGTGTTTGGTTGCTATTTATTTTTGTGAATACTTTTTCATGTAGTCCAGGCTGTCCTTGGGCTCCTGATCCTCCTGTGTCTACCAACCAAGAGCTGGGGTTTATTTGGTACTGGACACTGTTCAGTCCCTACAGATGCTAGGGAAGCATTCTATTGCGAAAGGTGTCCCTGGACTCTGAAGGGATCTGAGTGTCAAAACCAGCATCCATTCCTTTTCTTCACGTTTTCCCATATTATTAAATGAAAGTATTTTTGCACCTAAACAGTCCTGGCCTAGTATTAATGCTGGTTGTCTTTGGAGACCACAAAAGACCTGGTGCTGGTGGGCCGCGCCTCGATACCAGAAATAACCACAAGGGGGCGCGACGCCACTGCTAATGCCTGAAGGGCTTTTGGTTTTGGTTTTGGTTTTAATTTGTATTTTCTCCCCTAAATCTGGTCTCATGGTTAAGGAAAATCCCCTAGATTTTTGCAGGATTCAGAAATAATTTCACTTCTAGCCTGGATTTCTTAGTAATAACTGTAATGTCGTTATCTCTGGCCTAGACAGGTTAGTCATTTACTCTAGCACTCTAGGGAATGAGAAGGAATTCAGTTCAGACTGATTGGTTGGGATATCTATTAAATCATCCCCCTTGAATATCCTGTTTGAGAGTAGAGTCCCCCCAAGGCTGCAGATAACAAATTGAGAGTCCATCTGTGTCCTGTGGCTAGACTTCAGGGGCTATGGCCCTTTCACTTAATGTTCAGCAACCAGGGTGCAGGTCCATGGCAGTAGGTCACAAGGGCCCCAGCGCTGGCTCAGCGCAGGGTTTGTGGACTCTTACAGCCCTGGCGAGCAGCAGAGATGTACTGCACCGATGTCTCCTTGGAGGGCTTATACCAGAACCGTAGCTGCCTTCAAGTCCCAACACACTTTCAACTGAGATTTACCCGCCACGTGCTTGTGCTGGGACCCTTGAAGCAGCGGTCAGGGCCGTTGGGAAATGTTAAGGATGTGAGTAGTCCTCCTCTTTTGATGAGCCTGACAGGGCCTCCTCTATTGACCCTGGAAGCAGTTAAAATGCCTTGGGAGTCTGGGTCTTGGAATACCCTCGCAAGTAGAGGTATCAGGCTTGGTGCAAGAAAGCAGTGTCAAATCCTCAGAGCCTGCACGGCTATTCAGGTCACCTGTAGGGGCCTCTGGCTTCTTCTTCTGTGATGGCACAGCCAGTTGTAAAGAAGGCCCTTCCGCTCTGGCTCAAGTGTGGCATCCAGTTACCCTCTCCAGGCTCCCCTCCCCCATCCCTGCTGAGCATGGTCGGTTACTCTGTCTCTTTGTTCCTTATGCCTTTCAGACACCGCCCCGTTATAGGACTCGGCCTTCTGGTCCCATAATCTGTTTCCATGAATGTCATTCTCATTAGATTTTGAAGTTTAAGACCCAGTGGGTATAAAGGATCTGTTAGTTATAAACACTGGCATTTTATACTTTTACTAACTAAAGACAAATACATGTGAATTCATGAACGAATTAATCCAAATCTGAACACAGGTTTCCTTCAATGCTCTGCCCCTCTGAGTGCTCACTCACCTAGAGTCTGGCATGTGTGTAGTAACATCCTTGGCAGGGGTTTTCAACCTTCCTGATGCTGTGGTCCTTTAATAGAGTTCCTCATGTTATGGTGACTCCCCAACCATAAAATTATTTATGTTGCTTCATAACTGTAATTCTGTTCCTGTTGGGAATCATAATATGATTTCTGACCCACAGGTTGCTAACCACTGCCTTAGAGGCACACAAAGACACAAGGGGTGGTCCCCTAGTGTCCCCAAAGGTGACTTACTACCATTTCATCCCACCCATTGCCATGCTATACTGGGAGATGTTATGGTATTAGCCCCACCAGACACCTTTTCAAGCCAAACCCTACCTCCTAATGTTGAAACATAGTCATCCAATACAGCTTTCTTAGAGACAGATGAGATACACATTAATAAAACAAGAAACGGTCAAAACACTCCCTCTGAGATCCAGAAGATAACTTTATCAGCAATATCACAACATCTGAAAACTTTATTTATTTATTTATTTATTTATTTATTTATTTTGGTACTGTCTTCCGAGTCCCTCCACATAATAGGCCTACAAAAGTCCTTCATAGAATCTGGTTCAGCAAGACACTTCTCTTCCAAAGGAATTCGAGTCTCTGGAAGCCGCCATTTTCTTCCCTCCAAGGAGAAGCAAATCTTTGCCAGTCCAGAGACAACACAACGAATGGCTCTCTAAACTCCTGAGTCATCTGGGTGGCTGGAGGCCAGGTGAACCTGCCAGGTTCCCAAGCTTCCTCCTGGGAAACGCCCAGTGTGTGTTAGCTCACAATAGACTATAGGTTGCTCTGCTGGTGACTCCATTGGAGGCTGTCATGTGTCCTGCCCACAAGGAAACGTGCCTCCATTCAGCTGAACCTGAGAACTCTCAGGGTGCACTTCCCATGAGCAGAGTCACCAGGGGTGGTGGCTTCTGTATGACCCACAGGGAAACAAAGAACATCAGTGAAGCTGGACTCAGCACAATGCAAAACTCAGATGAGGTCTTCCCAGCCAGGTGCAGAGGAATTCTGATGAAGGATGTCCGAAAGCATTCCAAAGCACACCCAGCTTCATCCTGCAACTGCTTTCTGTCACTGTGAGAAAACACTGGACGTAATTAACTTTTCTCCATTTGTTATTTAATTAGCATGTGGGGTATCACTATGACCTTTTCAGACAAAGAATCTTTTAGCGAGTCTCTTTCCCTCTTCTCTCCCATCCCTGCTGCTCTGATTCCTCCTCGTAACCTTCCTCCTATTGTCTTCCCCTCTTCCATGTTCCACGAGCCCTGTGAACACCTCATCTTTCCTCTTCCCCTAGACTTACTCTCTATGTTCTCTTTTCTAGTTTTAACCACTAGAGGAAAACATGGGGAGTGAGTCTAAAAGAATCAGCCTTTAAAGAGAGGAAGATTATTTGGGCTCAGACATTTGGAGGTCTTAGGCTATGAGCTAAGGCTTGATATTTTTGGTCCTATAGAGAGGTAAGACAACAAGGAACATAGGAAGCAAAGGCAGGGGGAGAGGACAGGACAGGGCTTAGAAAGAGGAGGAGGGTGAGGAAGAGGGTAAGGAGGAATATGAAGGAGAGGTAAGGGTGAGGTAAGGGTGAAGAAGGAAGAGGAGGAATAAAAAAAGGAGGAAGACCTTGAGAAGGAGGAAGAGGAAGAAGAGGAGGAAGAAGAGGAGGAGGAGAAAAGAGAAGTGATGAGAACAGCCAG